GTTAAATTACATAAATAATGTAATGTATCAATATTGTAATCAGTGCATGTTAAAAAAGAGCGCCCTACTTTATTTAAAAAAAAGAAATATAGAATAACAGAAAACATTTAAATGATTGCTTTCAAGGAAAGTGTATGCCTCTTCAGAAGTACTGATACACAATGACTTACCATTCAATTTCAGGCACAGGTGAACCAAAAAAAGCACAATCTAGCAACGCAGGATTGTTTGCAATGACTTGATATAATTTATTAGCAGGAGTCAGAATTCTTGGTGGCTCAGCTAAAAAGACAACACAACACATTTTATTTTATTTATCTATATATAAGGTATATTTGATTACGAAGCTCAGGAGTAGCCTATAAAATTACACATTTACATCTCCCTCTGAGGTGACTTAGGGGCTCTATCTAGCTCTGCTGCTGGTAGTCTGTAAAAGCTGTAATACAGGGGAATCTCCCTGTTACAAGTAAATATTTCCTTCTTGTTTTTCAGTGAGCAATAGTGATAGGCACCGAAGCATGTGACTTCACTGGAAGAATTAAATCAGAAAATGCTCAAAAAAAGGAAGCAAGGTCTATTGGGACAAATATCATTGCCCCAATGCAGATAACTGATTTGAACCCACAATTACTAGGATGTTCTACAACCCCTGGGTTCAGGGAAGCTGCAAACACCAGGATCTGGGGTTAAACTCTTTGGTGAAGCACCTTTCCTTTCCTCTGAGGCATCTTGCAATGAAAGAGGGTCTTTCCTTGGCTCCATCTGCTGAACTCTGATCTTTGGAACTGATTCTGTTGTTTCCTCATGGTGAGGCTTTACAAGGTGACCTCTTTCCAACTCAGATTTTACAACAGGCTTAAGCTCACAGGGAGGCACTGAAGGCCATACTACTCATGGCTGGAGACACTTTCTTAGGAGAAGGTCTTCCTGACTCAAGCATAACCAGATCATCTTGCAAGAGCAGCATCTGAAACAGCGTCTTAAAATCCTTTTGGATCCTTTTTGAGAAGATCTTAAAGGTGTTGCAGACTTTAGCTGAGTGTCCTTTACCTTTTTCAAGAGTATCTGAAGTCCCGGTTTTTATGTGGATCAAGATAACATTTTTTTTTAACGGAACATTAAAAAAATTAAAATGAAACATTAATTTAAACCTAGTACTAATTAACTCTTTACAGCTATTTTTGTTTGCCTGATTTAACAGAGAAAGGGAACAAGATGCTTTCATGCCTCCTTCAGCAGAGTGGCGAGAGGAAGTTAGAGCGAGTGGGGTATCTATGCTCTTCATCTATAGAGTAAGGGCTCAGGAGATATACTCACACTCTACTCAAAAAAGTTCTGTAGCTGTATGGCAGGGCATGCAACCCTACAGTGGGGCTCTGTGGAGACTATATATGAAGGAGAAGAAAGAACTGCGTACTATAGGGGTTTGATTAGTATTCATAATCACTTGCAATATAAAACATTTATTTTATTAACATTTATGTTGACTTAATCAGCAATATTTTTCTGTTACTTACCATTGCAGAAAGTCTGGATTAAATTAAACAATATCAGGAAAATTTATTAATCAACAACTCTTAATTAAGTTACAGATGAAAAATGAAAGATTGATCTTACCCAAAACATTCACAAATGCATTTGCCAGCAAGTATCCATATTCATTAGAGGCATTGCATTGATAAACAGCACTTGATCTTTCTTGCACATCAGAGAAAATAATGGTATCACCATCTACTTTTCTGCTAGGATCTTCTGGGGCAACTATATGGGTTAAAAAAAGTGTATTTATTCTTTCTTAAATTGTTATTAAGATGATGAGTACTATGTTTGTAAAGGGAATAAAATATTATGAAAGACAGAAGTATTTCTTGATTTCATCTTCCCAGACTTCTCTTCAGTGGTACACCATTATATCATGACGCGATTTAGAAGGTTATCCAGATTCTATCCTTATTCTATACTTATACTGTCCACTGTTCTTTTATGATTAACGTCAAAGGCATATGATCCATGTAATTTGAAGAGGAAAACATACAAAAATATACTGATGTATTTACGATTCAGGCAAACAAAGATACAGACACAGATATGTAATGATTGGGATAAGAAAAACCATTCTTCTTAATGCCAAAAGAAAATTAATTTATAAAGATGGGGGAAATTTAGAATATTCTAGGAACTCCAACTGTTCACATGTTCTGCTATTCTTAAACATAAATATGTCTAAAAACATAAAATAAAAAATAGCTTTCCCCACATGAAAATTACCTCAAATTAAACTATAATAGGTCAGATGCATTACTGGGTAGGAGTTCGTTGTGAACATGCTAGGAGCATTTATGGAAGTGGTGTTAGTGGTTCAGTAGGTGGCACTCTTTCCCCTGAATGAGTACTGAACCACTGCCAGTTCTAAACTGTTCTGTAGTGCTGCTGCATGGTATTAAACAGCTGCTGAGTTCTAGAAGTGGCCTGGGATGCTTTGGGATGAAATATATAATGCAGAGTAAAAGGCAGACATATTATTGAAGTTACTGGACCAAATATTGCTCAGTTATCCCTGCACAACCACAATAAATTGGGTGGGGTTGCATAGGTGAAACTGAAAATAGAATCTAGACTGTCAAATTTTGTTGCATATAAATAAATACACAAAATTACAGTTTTAATGTATTTGCAGACACCACATTTTTGGCGGTATCTCCCGGGTCTACATCCCCTGATATTATCTGTGAATTTGAGAGCATAATTAAGCCTGCAGAATGCATTGCCAAAGATATAATTCAGACCAAGAGCTGAAGAGAAGTAAAAAAAAGAATCCATTTATATGGATTATAAGAACATGCACTGTTAAATTAGCAAGGATTTTTTTTAAATGATATAAATCTTCATGCTTCAGGGCATAACTTAACTTCTAACTGAGAGGGATTAGGAATTAATTTCCCATATAGTTTATTTCACAACTGCCTATTATGGGTTGTTTTCCTTGCACCGTATACTAAAACATCTGCTACTGACAACTGCGACAGACAAGATAGTAGACTAGAAATATCTCTGGTCCAGTTCTGTTTCTCATTATGATCCCCTTTCCTCTGCTCAAATGGCTCTCATCTCACTCTGATTCCAAGGCTTAGTTTACACAAAGAAATTGCACCAATTTAACTAAATCATTTTCTAAATACATTTTTCCTATCCAATTCCAGGCTCAAGAATGGTTTCCTTCTCAAGCCCAGTCCACCTCCATTCCTAAATCTGGGCCACCATCACTCTGTTGTTGGGGGTAATCGCATTTGCTTTGCTTCCTTTTGTACCAAAAGCTCCCTGTCTTCTCATATTCTATTTCAAGACCCCTTTTACCTTAATTCTGCCCATCACCTATATTTCAACTGACTTAATTACCTGGCTGCTTGGTTGTTCACAATATCAACATTTGCCTGTACCTCAGAGAATCCTACTCTCTTTACTACTAAGTACTATTCCTGGTTCAAAACATGTTGCCAACAGACATGCCAAACCCGTGAAAAAAATGCAGAAATGTGGCTTGTTTTTGGCTTAATTGGCTTGTGAGTTGCTTGTTGGCTAGTTTTTGTCTTGTAGCTTGTTACTCATTTGTAGCTTGTTGCTTCTTTTTTTTGATCGGCTCCTGGCAAGCAGGGGCAAAGGGGGGAGACAGTCAGGGTGCACAGCAGGCCCACCACAGTCCCAGACTGCATGCAGGGCGATCTAGTCAAATAAAGTGTTGTGGTTGTTAGGGATTGGCTTGTTTTGGCCTTGTTTTGAAATGGGATTAGCTTGATTTTTGGCTTATTGTGAACATCGGGGTGCTTATTTACCACGTGAAAGTTGGCAACTGTGGTTGCCAATACTGGCCCTACTAAAAATGTGAAGGAGCCATGCTATTTCACATGTTCACATGCTATGTCACAGATCTTAATTTTATGAGGAAATTTTCAAACTCACAAAGTGAAACAAATCCTCCCATCCCCTGACATTAAATGCTTAAACAAGGTCTCAATATAATCTCCGAGGGGATATTTACGGTGCTAGGCCCTGATCCTGCAAAAGAACTTTCTGCCAGTGTAGATCTAGGGTTACCATATTTAACAAATAAAAAAAGAGGACCCTCCACGGGCCCCTGGCCCCGCCCATTTCCCCACCCCAGCCCCGCCCAACTCCGCCCCTTCCCC